AGAGAAGCGAGAAACAAAGAAAAGATGTGTATAAACAAGATATCCAGTAACAAGAAGAAGTAAAAGGATTGAAACCAGGAACTCCTCAATATTTCGTGATCTCAGATGTGTCGATATGAATGGTGACTCATTATTTGTGTGAAAAAGATCTTTGTACATGTCTACAAGAAAATTATGGAAAGACTTACTCGAAATCTCACTTATACGATTCCGTTGTGAAAGACACAGTTTTTTCCGAAGAATTCCCCACAGTTTTTTCCGAAGACTTCCCTTGGATCCATGCATAATATTCTGCCAAATAGATACAAATTTTTTAAATTGAGGACTCCTCCTTAGTATCGCAAATAGGTCTGAAAGAGTATCTAAAAATATGAAATTGATATATTTGTGCCCTGTCCAGGTAAGGAACAACGGTATTATATACGGGCGTAATCGCTTCAATTTGGAGAGAATTGAAGAAATACTCTTTCTTTTTCTTTTTCTTTGAAAGTTTCTATACATCTGCCCTTTTCCAAGGAATTTTTTTAGAGGTTTTTTCCTCTTTGCGGATGGTATAAATTTTTCAGAATATAGAGTGTCAAGCAAACCCAAACCCATGTTTGAATCGAAATCAAGATACTGATGCAAGTTCTTCCTTTTTGAATCAGATAAATTAATAGGGGAAAGAGGTTGACAAGAAGTTCTTTCCAAATTCACTATTTCTTCCTCTGTTAGAGGTGTTCCAGAAATGTCCGCGATCGAGTAAATAGATCTAGGAACACGAGTTGAAAAATGGAAAGATTTGTACAAGTCATATCCGTCATCACCACTTTGCGGAAAATTCTTCGGTCTCAATATCTTAGAGACCTCTAACTCGCTTGGTGAAATAGTATCTCTGTCCAAAAAAGCATGTGTTTTTTTACCGCCGCACAAAGAAAATCTTTTCTTTCGAATGAACAAGACATTGAGGAATTGTTCATACATAAAATCATAATTATAGGACCTTTCCCCATAAAAAGAGAATCTTTTGTTACAATCGAAAGAGAAGTTATATTGATTATTCAAGAATCGAAGTCGATTTACTTTATAAAAAGAGGAAATCAATGAACTTCTATGAAAACATTTCACAGGATTCAGCCAATTGTCTTGGTTTGGTATCTTATTGAACAAAAATGGTAATATTGTTCCTTCATTGATCAAGAATTTTGATTTTTGAGAAGTATAATAGTCATCCAATAATGGGGATTTCCTTTTTTTCAAATGAACCGTTTGCATACCTATTGATTCTAAATACTGATTCTCGAGTGCATCATTCATACGTTTCAATTCATACATATGGCTCTGGGACCTATGAACGGGCATACTCCCGAAACTCACAAAGAAAAAAGGAAGTGAGTTAGACAAAAAGGGAAGAAGCTTGGACAAAAAGAAACAAAGTGACTTAGAAAAATCTTTTTTGTCGATAACCTCAGCCCAATCAATCGAATATGCATTCATATGTAATCGATCGAACACTACTTTAAAACGACTATTCTGCTCAGAAATGAAATGGTCCAAATGTTCCTGGAAATTTGTGCTCCCCTTGGACCATTTGTATTTATATGCATTTGGATCCTTATTCACGGATCTCTCGGTTCGATAAATAAAAATAAGACGATCAAAGCATTTCTTCTGACTCTTTTTCAAATTTGAGAAACGTTGATTGATCGTGTGTTTCCTTATAGGTCTATGATTCAGAATATCATTTTGATACCTTTGAAGTACATATTCGAAGTTGCGATTGAATCGATTACCTTGAAAATAATTCCCACAAGAGGTCTGGACCCATTTTTTTATGATCTTTGGATAAAAAGATTCATTCGCTTCGTCAAAAAGCCGCGGCAGAACCAATAAAGATTTTTTTTTTGATTCCGGTTCAGAAAACCCAATAGAAAAAGAGAATCCATTACGATAGACCAGATCCGGCTTAGTTAGTGATAGATTAAATAGATTTGCCATTTCTTGAAATCTCTCTTCTGATTGAAAATTGCGATGTAACAAGTACCCCCCCCCCCCCCCTATTCTGGTCATGGAATAGATGAAATAAACCAAAAACTAGATTTTTGGTCAAGAATGAATTATTATTTTGAACTGTCAAAAGTTTCTCCTTTGCAATCCTATCACATCCTCCATCGGATGAAATAGGATGAATTGAGACATTATTTTGTAAATACATGATTATCTTGACTATATTGGCTAGTTCTTTCTTTTCCAATTTCCTCCAAAGAACAAAAGAAACATCTTCTTCTTTCTTTAATAATTGAAGATCTTGAGCGGACTTCTCAGTAGGATTCAAATCCAGATGAAGTTGGGACCATCTGTCCGAGAAAAAAGAGCGATCAGAGATCTTTTTTTCTTTTGGACCAGACAGGAGCGGAACAATCAACCTATTGATATTGAACGAATCTTTTGAGTCTTCCAATCTATCATTGCCGGATCCAGTGGAATTTATTTGTATAGGAAGAAGCCCTGTCAAATAAATATTTTTTTTTCGATCATCCTTCGATTGTTAATACGATATAGAAGGATCGCTACTACAAAAAGTACTACATTCTTGATCGTGAAATATCGATTTCTTGTTAAACCCTGTGACTGACGTGAAACTAGGATACTCCAAATTCTGGAGTCTAAGACTTTTATCAAACTCTCTTGATGCAAAAAAATGTGAATGACAGATATCGCTGAATTGAATTGCGTCCAGGAATCTAAGAAATAAGCACAATTCTTGCTCTCTCTAAAAATTTCTCGCAATTCGAAAATCCAAAAGTGAAATTGATTGTTCTTCATAGGATCCTCCTTAAAAAATTAAAAATAATTTATCTCTTTATGTATGTATTTCTATTAAGTTATTTATTTATGTATGTATTTCTATTAAGTTATTTCTTTATGTATGTATTTCTATTAAGTTATTTCTTTATGTATGTATTTCTATTGATTTATCCAAAAGATTTCACTTCAATTGAAATTTGGTTATTCATCAAGTTGGAGGGTTGTTCCCTCGAAGCATCCATGGCTGAATGGTTAAAGCGCCAAACTCATAATTGGCGAAGTCGTAGGTTCAATTCCTACTGGATGCATGCCAATAGAAATATCTCCCCTAAAAACTATATTTTTAATCATGAATTATTATTTTGAACTGTCAAAAGTTTCTCCTTTGCAATCCTATCACATCCTCCATCGGATGAATATAGGATGAATTGAGACATTATTTTGTAAATACATGATTATCTTGACTATATTGGCTATTTCTTTCTTTTCCAATTTCCTCCAAAGAAAAAAAGAAACATCTTCTTCTTTCTTTAATAATTGAATTTGAAAATAATAGAAACTTCAAGAATTGATCATTTCTAAATAAAGAAAGAATTTCTTTATTTATTCTATTTAAATAATTTCTGATCTGTAGTAGACCTCTTAGCTTAGTAGTATTTGAATCGAGACTTGGATCTGTATCAATGGAATCTCATCATCCATACATAACAAATTGGTGTGGTATATTCAAATTTTAATAAATGAACAGTAAAAAAACTAGTATTTTTAGTGAGACTAGAACTCATCGGGAAGAAAGAATAAAATAGATTTATGAATGGAATAAAATCTGCAGTATTTACAGACACTAAATTTTCGTTATTTCGAAAAAATCAATATACTTTTCATGTCAAATCAGGATTAACTAGGACAGAAAGAAAACATTGGGTCGAACTCTTCTTTGGTGTCAAGGTAAGAACTATGAATCAACTCGCAATCCCAATAAAGGGTAGAAGAATACGACCTATTATGGGACATACAAGGCATTACAAACGTATGATCATTACGCTTCAACCGGGTTATTCTATTCCACCTCTTAGAAAGAAAATAACTTAAATAAAAATACACTTCATAACATGGCGATACATTTATCCAAAACTTCTAGCCCGAACACACGCAATGGAGCCGTAAACAGTCAAGTGAAATCCAATTCACGAAATCGTTTGATTTCTGGACAGCATCATTGTGGTAAAGGGCGTAATGCCAGAGGAATCATTACCGCAGGGCATAGAGGGGGAGGTCATAAGCGTCTATACCGTAAAATTGATTTTCGACGCAATGAAAAAGACATATATGGTAGAATTGTAACTATCGAATACGACCCTAATCGAAATGCACACATTTGTCTCATACACTATGGAGATGGTGAGAAAAGATATATTTTACACCCCAGAGGGGCTATAATTGGAGATACCATTATTTATGGTACAAAAGTTCCTATAAAAATGGGAAATGCCCTACCTTTGAGTGCGGTTTGAACTATAGATTTACGTAATTGGAAGTAACCAATTAGGTTTAAGGCGAAACCTAGAAATCGATCACTGATCCTATTTGAGTACCTCTACAGGATAGACTTCAACAGAAAACTGAAGAGTAACAGCAGCAAGTGATTGAGTTCAGTAGTTCCTAATATAAAATTATTGACCCTAGAGATATAGTAATATGGAGAAGACAAAATTGTTTCAAGCACCGACAGAACACGAAGTGCTCCTCGTTTCAAAAAACAAAGGGGGGAAGACACAGATTATTCACATTTCATTTGATGGTCAAAGGCAAATTGAAAGCTAAGCAGTGGTAATTCTAAGGATTCCCCCGGGAAAAAATAGAAATGTCTCCTACGTTACCCGTACTATGTCTAAGTAGCAACGTAATTTCATAGAGTCATTCGGTCTGAATGCTACATGAAGAACATAAGCCAGATGAAGGAACAGAAAGACCTGGGATGTAGAAGATCATAACATGAGTCATTCAGAATATTTGGATTCGTATATTATATATCCACTCATGTGGTATGGTACTTCGTTATGTCATATATAATATACGAAATAAACGATATATAAGATGTATCTGTATAGATATTCTAATCTACATCCAGAAAGCCGTATGCTTTGGAAGAAGCTTGTACAGTTTGGGAAGGGGTTTTGATTGATCAAAAAGACGAATCTACTTCAACCGATATGCCCTTAGGCACGGCCATACATAACATAGAAATAACACTTGGAAAGGGTGGACAATTAGCTAGAGCAGCGGGTGCTGTAGCGAAACTGATTGCAAAAGAGGGTAAATCAGCAACATTAAAATTACCTTCTGGAGAGGTCCGTTTGATATCAAAAAACTGCTCAGCAACAGTCGGACAAGTGGGGAATGTTGGGGTAAACCAGAAAAGTTTGGGCAGAGCCGGAGCTAAACGTTGGCGAGGCAAGCATCCTGTAGTAAGAGGGGTAGTTATGAACCCTGTAGACCATCCACATGGGGGTGGTGAAGGGAGGGCCCCAATTGGTAGAAAAAAACCCTCAACTCCTTGGGGGTATCCTGCACTTGGAAGAAGAACTAGAAAAAGGAAGAAATATAGTGATAATTTGATTCTTCGTCGCCGTAGTCAATAGTGGATAGTAGAGAAAATAGAATTTGTTTCTTCGTCTTTACAAAAGAAAAGAGCGATTGACTATGACATTCTATGATTTTCTTTTTTGAGAGATTCTATATTTTAAAAAGAGATTCTATATTTTAAAATTGGAAATAAAATAAAAAATATAAGAGAAAAAATTCATTTTTTTAGAAATTTTAAGAGGAATAATTAACTATGACACGTTCACTAAAAAAAAATCCTTTTGTAGCGAATCATTTATTAAGAAAAATAAATAAGCTTAACACAAAAGGAGAAAAAGAAATAATAATAACTTGGTCCAGAAGATCTACCATTCTACCTACAATGATTGGGCATACCATTGCTATCCATAATGGAAAAGAGCATTTACCTATTTATATAACAGATCGTATGGTAGGCCATAAATTGGGAGAATTTTCACCTACTCGAAACTTCCGAGGCTTTGCGAAAAATGATAATAGATCTCGTCGTTAACATTCATTTTAACATAAATTTAGTAATAGTCATTAATAAATATTAATTAATAAATTACTCAAAAAGAATTGTATTATTCTGCAATCAAAAAAACAGATTTTATTTTTTCGTGAAAATAGAACCAATACAGAGAAATATAACCCTTTGTTCAAAAAATATTTTTGTCTATTCACAACACAAAGCGTGAATGGTAATTAATAATATTCAAAAATTGAAAGGGTTATTATAATAGAACTAATGCTTTGCAGAAAAAAAAAGATATATCAAGATATTAAAATATATATATATATATATATAGATAAAAAAGTAGACAAATCAGACGTATTATTTTATATAGAGTAGTGAGGGATTATGGGACAAAAAATACATCCGCTTGGTTTCAGACTTGGTACAACTCAAAGTCATGATTCTATTTGGTTTGCACAACCAAGAATTTATTCCGAGAATGTAAAAGAAGATAAAATAATACGAGATTGTATCAAGAATTATATACAAAAAATACAAAAAACAACAACCGCTGTCGATGGCGAGGGAATTGGACGAATAAAGATTAAAAAAACACGCGATCTGATTCACGTGATAATCAATATGGGACTTCCAAACCCAAACTTAGTAATAGAGGATAACCCTGAAAGAATGGAAGAATTACATACTAATGTGCAAAAAAAAAAAATTGTGTGAACCGACAAATCAACATTGAAATTACAAGAATTCCAAATGTTTATAGAGACCCGAATATTCTTGCAGAATTTCTAGCCAGACAATTAAAGAATAGAATTCCGTTTCGTAAAGCAATGCAAAAAACTATAAAAAAATTCGTTGAAGAGGCAGGTGCAGGTACAAAAGGAGTTCAAATACAAATTGCGGGACGCATCGACGGAAACGAAATTGCACGTGTCGAATGGATCAGAGAAGGTAGGATTCCTCTACAAACCATTCGAGCTAAAATTGATTATTGTTCCTATCCAGTTCGAACTATTTATGGGGTCTTAGGAATCAAAGTTTGGATATTTATAAACAACGACTAATAACCTTTTCCTTATAACGTTCCATCTTTTGAGAAAACAAAAAATGACGAATTCTTACTACGTTCTTATTCTCAAAGAAGAAATGAAAAATTTTAAAAGATTAAATAAAAAAAAATTAATTAATCATTTTATAATGAAGGAGTTGCTATGCTTAGTGTGTGACTCGTTGGTTTTTTTTTAGAGTGGTTAATTTTCTACAAAAATTCGTCGAATTAATTACTAAAGAATAAATAACCTACTCATCGCTTCCCATTATCTGGATATAAAGAACCGCCGAAAATCTAAAATCAAAATAAGGATCTATGTGATGATATAATTATAGCAACTGAAATAAAAAAAAAAGATTATTAGTTGTAAAGCAATAAGAATATACAGATAAATGAAGGGTGAAAGAAAGATAGAAAAAGGATATCAATGATATAGAATTCTCCTGTGTAAAGGTCTATGGGTCATCTCATAAAAAGTAGTGTAATAAAGCATCAATCTTCAAAATTCATCCATATATGGATGAATATATTCCTAGAATAAACGAATCAAGAGCCACGAATCAAGAAAACTGAGAAGGTTGATTCAACAAAAAAGAAGAAAATAAGAAAATAAAAAAAATGGAATCTTCTTAATTAAAGAGGCTCCATTGTAGAATTTAGACCTAACCATAAATTGAAAAGCGATGGGAACGACGGAACCTGTGAATACAAAAGATTATATTAAAATTTGAAATCTTACTGATTCATTAGATGGGATGGCGGAAGGAACTAAGAATTCATTCTTTTTTGAGGAGTTGTGGACTAACCCTAAATTACATCTTCAATTTAATCAATTTATAATGAGAGAGTAAATATTCGCCCGCGAAAATGTGGATTTTTTTGGAATTGATAAATTTTTGCCAATCCAATATGATAATAATAAAAAAAGAAAAATACTGATTCGTTAGAACCTTATATCCAAAAATATTAGCTAGTTAGATACGGATAGCAAAAATGGTCTATAAGAATACATATTTCGTTATATATCAAAGCAAGATTAAAAAATTTCTAATAGATCAATAGATTCTATTAAATGTAAAAAAATCCCGCGATTATATTCTGTTGTATCTTATTGTAGTAATTATTATTATTTTCTCGATTCAATATTTTTCAATCGATTTATTCGCGAGGAGCCGTATGAGGTGAAAATTTCATGTACGGTTCTGTAATAGAGATGGAATTGAGAAATAACCATCAACTATAACCCAAAAAGAACGAGATTCCGCAAACATCATAGAGGAAGAATGAAAGGAAAAGCCTCTCGTGGTAGTCAAATTTGCTTCGGAAAATATGCTCTTCAGGCACTTGAGCCCGCTTGGATCACATCTAGACAACTAGAAGCGGGTCGACGGGCAATGTCACGAAATGTTCGCCGGGGTGGACAAATATGGGTACGCATATTTCCAGACAAACCTGTTACAGTAAGACCTACCGAAACGCGTATGGGTTCGGGAAAAGGATCGCCCGAATATTGGGTAGCTATTGTTAAACCCGGCAAAATACTTTATGAAATGGGAGGTGTTCCAGAAAATATCGCTAGAAAGGCGATTTCAATAGCGGCATCCAAAATTCCTATACGAACTCAATTTATTCTTTCCGAATAATCATTAGAACGAAAGAGATCTTTAGTATGAAAAAAGGCAATTCTCCGTTTTTTTTTTAACACAAAATATTTTTTTACTTCAACTTTTTGACTGAAACTGAAAGATAAGAAAAAAGGATATGATTCAACCTCAAACCTATTTAAATGTAGCCGATAATAGTGGAGCGCGCGAATTGATGTGTATTCGAATCATAGGAGCTAGTAATCGAAGGTATGCTTATATTGGTGACATTGTTGTTGCTGTAATAAAAAAAGCAGTGCCAAATTCATCTTTAAAAAGATCTCAAGTCATCAGAGCTGTAATTGTACGTACTTGTAAAGAACTAAAACGTCGTAATGGTATAATAATAAAGTATGATGATAATGCGGCGGTTCTCATTGATAAAGAAGGAAATCCAAAAGGAACTCGAATTTTTTCCGCAATAGCCCGAGAATTAAGACAGTTAAATTTCACTAAAATAGTTTCATTAGCACCTGAGGTATTATAATAAGAGATCATGATATAGATATATTATTTATGACTTGAATGAATAGGAAATAGATTAGAATACGAATGAAATATATATTCTATATTCAAGTCAATATATTCAAAATAAAAATTCGAATTCTATTTGTATAAAAAAATAGAATTCGAATTCAATATAAGATTATTTATATAGTTTCGAATAGGTCATTCGTTCATTTTATTTCTATCTTTTTTTAGTTTTAGAATATTCTATATTCGGATATTTAGATTATCCTAATTACAATCAAATTTTCTATACATATAGAGTATTATTCTATTCTCATATTCAATATGAGAGATTTGATTGAATCAAAAAATAAAAAATCAAAAAACGGGAGCACGTTGATTATATCGAAAGTAAGGAGCAAAAATCTATCGTGGGTAAAGATACTATCGCTGATATACTAACCTTGATACGCAATGCTGACATGAATAGAAAAAGAACTGTTAAAATACCACTTACTAATATCACCGAAAACATTGTAAAAATTCTTTTACGAGAGGGTTTTGTTGAAAATGTCAGAAAACATCGAGAAAGCAACAAATACTTTTTAGTTTTAACTCTACGGTATAGAAGAAATAGGAAAGGATCCTATAAAACTTTTTTAAATTTAAAAAGGATCAGTACACCTTGTCTACGAATATATTCTAAGTATCAAAAAATTCCGAAAGTTTTAGGAGGGATGGGGATTGTAATTCTTTCTACTTCTAGGGGTATAATGACAGATCGAGAGGCTCGATTAGAAAAAATCGGGGGAGAAGTTTTATGTTATATATGGTAATGCTAATTTTGCCGATATCTGAATTATATGAAAAAAACTTAGAGCCAACAGTATTGTGAATGGAGGGAGTAGAGAAAAAACAGATTTCTAATATTATTCATGATACATTAGTGAATATGGGAAGAGGTTTTAACTAGAATAGAAATGAAAATTAATAAAGATTAAATTAATCAACAACTTCTGAGGGTATGTTGCAGGTTGAGGTTGCTTTAGAGAAATAGAATTCAAATCAGATTCTAGGTTATGTTTCCACTGGATACGACCAAAAAAGGAAGTATAGCTGACTCCATTCGATTAGACTATTTTATAACTTCAACATATTTTTTAGGAGGAACAATTTGAAGTTCAAAATGTAAGGAAACCCTATTTTCTTGCAATCTATAAAATTGGTATTCAATTTAATTTAAGGAGTGAAAAATATGAAAGTGGTGGCCTCTGTTCGTAAAATTTGTGAAAAATGTCGATTGATCCGTAGGCGAGGTCGACTTATAGTAATTTGTTCCAATCCAAAACATAAACAAAGACAAGGATAATATTAAAAGAAAAAAGGTCTTTCTATTCATAAGATTTTTTATTTGAATTGTAATAGAATTCAAATAAAAAATCTTATGAATATTCCATTTTATTAAATACTCTATCTAAAAATATAGATTCTATATTCGAATAGAGTCTATAGTTATAAGTATTCTCATAAATATAATTGCTTATTCCTTGATATTTGAAAATGGTATTCTATATTAATTGAATTATAGAATACAACAGAATAACTAGTTAGAAAATAGTCAAGAATCGTTTTTTGACAGGAAATGGATATATCCATATATTTCGGACTTATATTTTTTTAAATAATAAAACATGGCAAAATCTATACCAAAAATTGGTTCACGTAAAACTGGACGTATTGGTTCGCGTAAGCATCCTCGTAAAATACCAAAGGGGGTTATTTATATTCAAGCTAGTTTCAACAATACCATTGTGACTGTTACAGATGTAAGAGGTCGGGTGATTTCTTGGTCCTCCGCCGGTTCATGTGGATTCAAGGGTACACGAAGGGGGACACCATTTGCCGCTCTAACCGCAGCGGGAAATTCTATTCAAACAGTAGTCGATCAAGGCATGCAACGAGCAGACGTCATGATAAAAGGTCCCGGTCTAGGAAGAGAGGCGGCATTAAGAGCTATTTCTGGAAGTCGGATACGAGTAAGGGTTATACGGGATGTAACCCCTATGTCACATAATGGATGTAGGGCTCCTAAAAAAAGACGTGTGTAAAACTAACAATAAACATTAAAGAAAAAGATTTCAAGAGAAATAAACAATTAAATCAAGAGTTTCATAAAAATATATTACTATGATTCGAGAAAAACTAAAAGTATCTACTCAGACACTACAGTGGAAGTGTGTTGAATCAAGGGTATACAGTAAGCGTCTTTATTATGGACGCTTTATTATGTCTCCACTTATGAAAGGTCAAGCAGATACAATAGGCATTGCAATGCGAAGAATTTTGCTCGGAGAAATAGAGGGAACATGTATCACACGTGCAAAATCTGAGAAAATACCACATGAATATTCTACCATAATAGGTATTCAAGAATCAATACATGAAATTTTAATGAATTTAAAAGAAGTTGTATTGAGAAGTAATCTGTATGGAACTCGGGACGCGTCTATTTGTTTCAAAGGTCCTGGATATGTAACTGCTCAAGACATCATTTTACCACCTTCGGTGGAAGTCATTGATAATACACAACATATAGCTAACCTAACAGAACCTATTAATTTGTGTATTGAATTAGAAATTGATAGAAAGCGGGGATATCGTATAAAAACACTAAACAACATTCAAGATGGAAGTTATAATATAGATGCTGTATTCATGCCTGTTAGAAATGCAAATCATAGTATTCATTCTTATGTGAATGGAAATGAAAAACAAGAGATACTAGTTCTCGAAATATGGACAAATGGAAGTTTAACTCCTAAGGAAGCACTTTATGAAGCCTCCCGGAATTTGATTGATTTATTTATTCCTTTTTTACATGCAGAAGAAGAAAACTTAAATTTTGAAAACAATCAACACAAAATTACTTTGCCCCTTTTTACTTTTCATGATAGATTGGTTAAGGATAAACTAAGGAAAAATAAAAAAGAAATGAAATTGAAATCTACTTTTATTGACCAATTAGAATTGCCTCCCCGAATCTATAATTGTCTTAAAAAGTCCAATATACATACATTATTTGAACTTTTGAATAAGACTCAAGAAGACCTTCTGAAAATTGAACATTTTCGCGCAGAAGATTTACAAAATATATTATTCAACTTTTTACAAATCGAAAAGCATTTTTTATAAATTGAAAATCTATTGGATTTTTTTGAATCTTTCATTTTTATAAAAAGAAAGGTTCAAATATGAAATTTGAATCTTTAGCACAAATCAATATATTCAGAATAGGTCTAAAATGAAATAGATGTATCTAGGGATTAGTCATTTCAAAGTGAATTTTCCCTAGATACACAACACAATACACCTGTCATGATATTTTACAATAGAATCAATTTAAAAAAGACCTAACGTTAGGGATTTTTCAATAGGTAATGTTGCTCCAATACCCAACCAAAGAGCCACGACAGTACCAATCAAAAAGACGGTTGTTGCTACTGGACGCCGAAATGGGTTTTGGAACTTATTCACATTCTCCAAAAAAGGTACTGTTAATAATCCCGCCGGTACTGAAACCATTAAAAGAACGCCCAATAATTTATTGGGTACGGTACGAAGTATTTGAAATACGGGAAAAAAATACCATTCGGGCAATATTTCCAAAGGAGTTGCAAACGGATCTGCGGGTTCCCCAATCATTGATGGTTCGAGAACCGCTAAGCCTACGTTACAGGCAATAGTACCCAGAATAACTACTGGAAAAATATATAAAAGATCATTAGGCCATGCGGGTTCGCCATAATAATTATGACCCATCCCTTTGGCCAATTTTGCTCTTAATACAGGATCATTCAAGTCAGGTTTTTTTGTTATTGGGATAGGTGAATTCTTATAGATCCATCCTCCGAAAGAACCGGACATGATAATTTTTCATCATCCGGCTCGAGCACGAATCAAACCAACTGAATGCAGACATAGAAATTTTGTAGATGTGAGTCACTCATATATCATGATTCTATGTAATAAAACGGGTTGAATTCTTTTTTTTCCGAAATTACAACTATCCATTGCAAAAAATTAAGTTCTTATTTTTAAGTAAATGCTTTTCACCCAAGTAAGTTTTAAAATAAAAATCAAAAGTTCTTTCTGGGTGATCTCAAACCTTTCGCCTGTTATACCTCGAAAAATGAATTTTGGAATTTTTGACATAGAAAGGATTTACTTGTTACTAATAGAATACAACCCCCCTTTTTCTTTAGATCTACTTGTTTAACTCCGATAGTATCATAAATTGAGTCAATGCATAGGAAATGAATGCATTTCCATACTATGTAAGTTTAATGAAATACATACGACATAATCTAGATTATAGCATATTCCTTTTTTTACTGGATATTACGGAGCCTGTTCATGCAGGATATGATCGAGTCTGATCATAGAAAAGATTATCTTCAAGCGAACCGGACTATCCTCTGTAGAGGACTGACGCGGTGGTTGGAACAAAGACACATTTCATTGTGAATTCAAATGTGGCAGATAAGATCAAGTCATATATCTGCATGGCCCAATCAATAGTTCAAGTCACACACTCCCATAATCCATTCTTTTTTCAGAGAGTTCCCTTCAACTATTTGTGTATGTCAAATAAAGAATCCAGTTTATTTTGTTAAGTTGAAGGGAAATATCCAAATACATGTCTTATTAAAGAAAAATAATGCATATTTGTAGCAATGAAATACTATTACTCCTCCCCAAAATGATTGATTACAAATCTCTATGATTCATATTCTCTATAAAGGACCAGAAATTCCTTGCTTACGTATCATTGGAAAGTGCATTAACATGAATACGGCAGTAAGAAGAGGTAATACAAAAGTATGTAAACTATAAAAACGAGTCAAGGTAGATTGTCCCACACTAGCACTGCCGCGCAATAACTCTACCACCGAGGATCCTATTACAGGAATAGCGTCGGGTACACCCGTTACAATTTTGACTGCCCAATAACCGATTTGGTCCCAAGGTAAGGAATAACCTGTTACACCAAAGGATGCAGTCAATACACCCAAAACTACACCTGTAACCCAAGTCAATTCGCGAGGTTTTTTAAAACCACCAGTGAGATACACGCGAAATACGTGCAAGATCATCATTAAGACCATCATACTTGCTGACCATCGATGAACTGATCGGATTAACCAACCAAAGTTAGCCTCAGTCATTATATATTGAACAGAAGCAAAAGCCTCTGTAACGGTTGGACGATAATAAAAAGTCATAGCGAAACCCGTCGCTATGACTTTTTATGCCGGCAAATAGAATACGGTACGATATAATACAATATCTACTATATAATACAGCGAGAATAGAATTCTTTCTCGACTAAATAAATATAGCTTCTAGATGAACGAAAAGCTAGTCAAAGGGTCGATTCAAAATTGGTAGACGCTACGGACTTAATTGTATTGAGCTTTGGTATGGAAACATAGTAATGTTAAGTGAAAACATAACATAACATAATATAATACAGCATCTACTATATAATACAACATGTACTATATAATACAGCGAGAAGAGAATTCTTTCTCGACTAAATAAATATAACTTCTAGATGAACGAAAAGCAAGTCAAACGGGGGATATGGCGAAATTGGTAGACGCTACGGACTTAATTGTATTGAGCCTTGGTATGGAAACATATTAAGTGAAAACTTTCAAATTCAGAGAAACCCTGGAATTTTAAATGGGCAATCCTGAGCCAAATCCTTCTTTCCGAAAACAAAAAACTAAAAGTTCAGAAAAAAAGGATAGGTGCAGAGACTCAATGGAAGCTATTCTAACAAATGGAGTTGACAACATTCAATTGATTAATGAAGATTTCTAACTTCTATTTGTAAATTGTAACTATTTTTTTTAGTTTTGATTCGATCACAATTGAAACGAAACATTAGAATCAAATCAATTCCAACTGGAAGAAAAAATGGTGAATATTCATTGATCAAATCAGTCACTCCACCGAAATCTGATGGATCTTTTGAATAACTGATTAATCAGACGAGAATAAAGATAGAGTCCCATTCTACATGTCAATACCAACATCAATGAAAGTTTTAGTAATCGGAAAATCTGTCGACTTTAAAAATCGTGAGGGTTCAAGTCCCTCTATCCCCAAAAGCCGATTGAATTTGCTCATTTTTATGGCCCTTTCCCTTTTTTTTATTGAGTTGACATAGACTCAAGTAATTTCCCTCAAATTAGGATGGTGCGTCAAGATTTTAATGGTCGGGATAGCTCAGCCGGTAGAGCAAAGGACTGAAAATCCTTGTGTCACCAGTTCAAATCTGGTTCCCGGCGACTCATTATGTATGAGTATCTATTCCCATATTTCTTTTCAAAAATCAAATATTGGGAGGAATAGATACATATTGATTAGTGGTCTTAATAATTATACATAATTTATCTAGGCGTACAGAGATATGCTCTTTCTAGATGAAAAAGGAATCGATGTATATTCTAGGAAGTATGAAAATGAATGATTCTAGTTTGTTTCGATTTTTTCTGCGATGCAATAACAAATGTTCATATTTCAACAATATTCAAATGGTTCAATTAGTTGGTTGAACGACCAAAAAGTTGAATCTAGCGGAGTTCATAGGTAAGAATAGTCAAAATTTATCTGAGATACATTATCAAAAAATATGGTCCATTTCTTTGTATTTTCTTTGATCGTACTTTTTTATTTTTCGTAGCCAGATATCTACTACTCGGAATAGAAATAGGAAATTGACTTCATTATAGGACTTATTAATCTTGTAAAATTTTTAAAATATCGGGTAGGAGTCCATGCTGCTACTCGGACTCGAACCAAGATGCTCTAGCACTTCTTCCTAAGAGCAGCGTGTCTACCAATTCCACCATAGCGGCTGACTCGAAATCATAATAACCAATTATTTAGTCAAAGTCAATAGTCAATCGTCGAGATTGAATAAAGTGAAGTCCAATATTTATTGAGTATATTTCTTTACTATTTACTAAACATTTATTCTCAATTGATAATAAAACTAAATTGATAATAAAAAGTAATTTAATTTTTTCTAATATATAATAGAAATGAATATAGAAATATATGATATATGCAATCATTTTCAATTTAAGTAAAAGAAGTTTTGATTTCTATATTCATTTCTTTTTTTTTTCCCATGCAGTGTTCGTTTTCAAATTTAACAACGACGGGGAATGGGTTTTTTGTAGTTTAGACTTTTTCAAATAAAAAAAAGCACTGTTGAAACTAGAACTATCTAGTTCTGACTTCAATCCAGTAATGAAAAAGAATTTTTTTTTGTAGTTGCTTATGAATCATTCAAAAAAATGAGATTATATATATATATCTAGAATATATTCTATATTCTATAATATAGAATATATTCTAAATATATGTTTATATATGTTTCATATTCTATAATAGTATTAGTATAAAATGACTATTAAAGAATACTCTTTGAATCGAGCTAATTCAGATTATTCTCGTCCAACATTTGTATTTCTTACAATAACACAACTTTTTTTTTGATTACGTGGCAAAAAAGGGCGAGGTTTTGTATTTATTACAATACGATAACTTTTTGAGGTACCTGTCAAAATAGAGTCAGCTAATGAAAAGGCTTTCAATGCTGCCTTATATCCTTTTTTTTTCCAAAAATTCTTACGATTTTTTTTTTGATATAGAAGTGCGTTTTTTTGGAACTGGCATACAATTAGTATAGTTTTTTCGTTGCTATAGTTTGATGTGAAAGACATTTGTTCTGTAAATGAAAACGAATTATTCTGTAATTAGCCGTATGTCTTATCTATCTAAATTAACTCTTTCTCTTTTTTTCCATCGAAAGGTAAAGTAAAAACATTGAATATTATAAACCTTTTCCAAATTTTTCATAGATAATAGATATATATGGATCTCTTTTTATTGTAATGTAAAAGAATCAATTAGTTCAAAAAGGAACTAATGTTTCTGAATAAAATAAAAAGTATTATTTTATATTATATTATTTTTCTAATGTATATCAAAATAAACAAATGTTGTTAGTTTTGGTGTACTGATTTATCCTCATCCTCGCTCTATAGATAAGAGATAAAAAATTTTATTTTACAATTATTAATAGTCATTTTTCTTAATATATATATAAATTAAAA